ATTTAATTTTTTGCGTCGAACTGTTTATTGATATTAGCAGATTTTTGCTCCTCTTCACGTCTCCTCTCTGGTCAGTCTTCATCGAAATCGAAATGCATTGGAAGATTTCTCTCACTTTTCGCATTTAAAATAAATTTATTTAAAACTCCGTTACTTCAACAGTTGCTTTCGAGCTGGTTAAGAGAATTATAATTAGCATTTCCGATTCTCCGCATCTGGGACAATTGATTAATGAATGATGATGGACTTAGGTGATCATGGCCACCAATCGCATTGAAACTCTCGACCCCGCCTTAATCCGGCCTGGTCGTATCGACCGGAAAATCGAATTCCCTCTTCCCGATGAAAAGACCAAGCGACGAATTTTCAACATTCACACCTCTAGAATGACATTGGCCGAAGATGTTAATCTGCAGGAGCTGATAATGGCCAAAGATGATCTTTCCGGGGCGGACATCAAGGTAACACTGTTGTTTAAGTCTTTGCTGCAAAACGTTCACGTTTTCGCTTCCAGGCCATTTGCACGGAAGCAGGATTAATGGCGCTGCGCGAGCGAAGAATGAAGGTGATGAATGAAGACTTCAAAAAGTCAAAGGAGAGCGTCTTGTATAGGAAGAAAGAGGGAACTCCCGAAGGACTCTACTTGTAAACTGTCTACTATGTAAAACGTTTGGTTTTTTTAAATTTTCCATCCCGCCACTACAGGCGTTGTTTTTTACTTTGTAAAACCCAAAAAACCTACTCTTTACGGAAATGTTTCAAAACGCCGTCAACATTACAAAATGTATTCATTATTTCAGTAGAAACGGATAAACACGTGTAAATGGAAAAATAATATTAACATGGCTTAAAAAACAAATGTATGCAATAAAGGCGTATTTTTACTTACACTTCGGAAATAGACGATTACTTCAACAGGAAACTCGGACGGGTTTTAAAATCCTGCGGATGCATTTTTTAGGGACGCGCTTCTTGAACAGCAAAGATGTGGATGGCGCTACATTTAGGACTTCGGTTTGGCTCCAAACTTCAGAGGCGGCCGTCGTGCTCGGTTTAATGGCGCGTCGGGGTCTGTTTTTCACGTCTGTAATTAGCCGCTCTATCAGGCTAATATCGGTTCGTAGATCGGCAACTCGTTTTTTGAACAAACTTTCAGATAGTGTGATCCTTGAGGCCTTCTTGTGCTTCTGTTGCTTTGTGAACAGGTTTTCTTCCGATGAATCGCTAATGCGTTCTCTCAGCTTTCGCTTCAGTCTTGCTCTCTTCTGGGTGTTTTCAGCATCCCGGCCGTTTACGGCCTTAACCAACCGACGCTCCAGCCTTTCAGCAGCACTTTGATCTTCTGATAAATCGCTGGCAGTTATTTTTGTCTTCAGTTTCCGCTTTTTCTTCTTAACGCCTGCAACATTATCGGTACTCTTGCTCTTGCTATTTGGCGAGTTCTTAGCGCCTGAAAAATCAGCTCCACTCTTTGCGCTGTTTGGTGAATCGTTTCTGTCGGTTTCCGTTTCGATGACCTGTTTGACTTTGTCTCTAATCAACGTGTTGCTTAAAACCAAACTAGCAAGATCATCACACCTGTGACATATATTCAGAGATATTTTGCCGTTTTTCACAGCAGAAGAGAATTCTTCTACTAGTGTGTTTAGTCCTGCAGTCGACTTGTCTTCCACCCCAGTATTCTGATGAATTGAAATAAATGAGTTTTTGCACATTTTCTGCATGTCTGAATCGGTAGTGATGATTGAAATATTGCCAATCACCACATCGGCAAGATGACCGTTTTTGGGCGCTTCTTTGGCATTTTCTGTAATCTCTTCTTGAACGCTATGGGTGGTTTCTTCAGCCACTACCGGGGTGATTTCGTTAATGCTAACTTTGGATGGTTCTTTGCCTTGGCATGAAGCCCTAGGGGAAATGTGCTGAGCGGTTTCATCGTCGCTGGAGGAATCGTACATCTCCACTATTCTCTTGCGCTTCGTCGGCACTTCTTTAGCCTTCTTTCTGGGAACCTTTATGATGTCATCATCCCCCAACAAGTCGGCATCTATTATTCTGGATTTTTTGGACTTTTTTCTTTCATATCCCAGATCATATTCATTGCCCGAAAGCAGCTCGTCTTCTTCATCATCGCAAATGAATGAATCATTAGAACCACTATCATAAAAATTAGACGCTTCCGTGTCGGAAGACCCAATTGATTCGCCTTGATCTGGTATAGCGTTGCTGTCTTCTGAAGGAGTGTCTTCTTCGCCTTAAAAAAAACAAAGCGATTAAATACCTGCGACTTTCTCAATGAAAAAACCGTTCGCTTACCTTCCTCAGCCATTCCATCAATGAATCCATTGCACGGCATCTCGGGTTCAGAGTTTTCACTGCTGGAATCATCGTCCTCGTTGATTTTTTGCCGAATGTAATCCTGCAGAGCTTGCGCACAGTTTTTGACGGGTTTGTCCAGCTGTAAGCAATTCAGGAAAAATTAGTATAAAAGTAGCCAAGCAGAACTGTTTACTAACCGAATCAGCCACTTCAGGCATGATCTCATCACCCGGCTCGGTCATCGACACATCTATGGATGGTTCTGCTGCAAATTCCACTTCCATATTTTCTTCACTATTCACATTTTCAAGTGGTTTAATAAGAGACTCATTCTGATTATCACTAGGTCCATTCTGTTTTGAAGGTTTTTCCAACTCCTCACTCTCTATTCGAATAGTTGCAGGCTCTTCTAGACACGAGCTTTTGCTATGTTCGGTACTGAGGAATTCTGACACGGTTTCATCTGCGGAATTGTTCAATAACACACCATGTTCAGCTGCTTTAAACGCTGTGCTTTGATCATCATCATCATCATCCGCCAGGACTTTTTCCTCATGGTCTTGTGACTGATCTGGCAAAACTGCACTGGCATCAATAACTCTAGAAATATTTGCTGTATCAGATAGATTAGAGACAGCCGATTGCGATGCTTTTGTCTTAGAATCGCAAACATCAGCCATCAAGCTCTCCAGCCCACCACTGCCTTCAGACTTAATGGGGGAAATAAACTTTAGTTCTGCAACATCTAGTTGTTTCGTTTTGTCGCTTGCAGACACATTGGGATAATTCATCATTGCTGCTTCTTTTGGGATGTCGGGGACACTAAGTGTTTTTTCAATATCTCCGATTTTGGGTACTTGGCAATACGTTTTACGTTTAGTAGTTTCCTCAGTATCTTGGGAAGACGTGACTTCTCCAACAGTACTCTCTGCTTTTCGGCTAGTCAAGTTTTTCTCAGCTATGTGGGTGAGATCTGACGAGTTCGAGTCTTCATCGGAAGGCAGAAAAAACTCATAGGGAGTTAAATTTGCGTTCATGCTCGCAGATCGCTGGAACACTTTTATCTGCTGATGCACTGCTTGAGGTCCCGACCAGTATTTCCCTGAAACTGAAAATTTCTTTAGACTTCGCTATTGATGATTCACGAGGATAAAATAACTAATATTAACTGACAAAAACTGTCTTGCCCACAGGAAGTGACGGTAGGTATGAACTGAACATGAAGGAAAAACGATGCCAAATAGAGCCAATCTTATAAACTCGGGGATCTTGATTCCATATTGTATAGCTAAGGCTTTAAAAGGCGCAGTTTTTTAGCAGAATTGCCGGAGTTTTTAACCTTCAGTAGTTAATACTGCACATTCCGGACTCTTCTGAGCTAAGTCAAGATTAAAACCGAAAGAAAGAACGTTAATTCGTCTATTATTGATAACAATGATAATTGAGTAATTGTTCTAATGAGGCTTAAAGCCTTACCTGTTAAAAACCAATTTTCCTGACAATTTCTCGAATTTTCACTATAAACAACACAAAATAGACGAACGGTTATTGAATTATTTGAAGAATGCGTCAAATTTGGACGTTTTGCATGGTGGGGAAAAATGGAGATCTGGCAGCGCAGCAAGATGGGCTTAATCGAAAATTTAGTTTAAACCTCTCTGGTTTTGTGCTTACAAAATTTATGCGGTTTATCACGTGGATTGGAAAGTGTCTTGAAAATAAGCCGAATTTCGAGTTTTTATTAATTTCCTTTCGACATAAAAAGGTTACAAATATGCATTTATAAAGTGTTTGGGTCAATAATAAGGAAGAAATCGTCGGCTAAAGATCGTGAACGCTTAAAAAACGCTTAAAATGTGCCGAAAATGTCTATTATTTCAGATCTGAAACTTCTTCCATACTTTTTAACGAGTTCGTAGCATTCCTAACGTCCGAGAGTTCAAAATGATGTAAAATTTAAGACATTTTGAGGCAATTTTAATTTTTTCAAAAAATCGACCCCCACCCTTAGAAAAATTTCGGTCAAAAATCAAAATTTTGCATGCGTGTTTTTTGAGCTCAATCGATTCCTTTCGACCTAAGAAGGTCACCAATATGCATTTATAAAGTGTTTGGGTCAATAATAAGGAAGAAATCGTCGGCTAAAGTTCGTGAACGCTTAAAAACGCTTAAAATGTGCCGAAAATGTCCATTTTTTCAGATGTGAAACTTCTACGATCTTTTTCAGTGAGTTCGATGCATTTCTTGCGTCCGTGAGCTGAAAATGATGTAAAATTTGAGATATTTTGAGAAAATTTTCATTTTTTCAAAAAATCGACCGTTGGAAAAATGTCGACCAAAAACGAAAATTTCGCATTCGTGTTATTTGAGCTCAATCGATTCCTTTGGACGTAAGAAGGTCACAAATATGCATTTATAAAGCGTTTCTGTCAATAATAAGGAAGAAATCATCGGCTAAAGATCGTGAGCGCTCAAAAAACGCTTAAAATTTGCCGAAAATGTCGATTATTTTGGATCTGAAACTTCTAGCATGTTTTTCAAAGAGTTCAACGCATTCCTCGCGTCCGTGAGCTGAAAATGATGTGAAATTTAAAACATTTTCAGAATATTTTAATTTTTTCAAAAAATCGACCCCCACCCTTAGAAAAATTTCGGTGGCAAATCAAAATTTCACATGCGTGTTTTTTGAGCTCAATCGATTCCTTTCGATCTAAGGTCACAAATATGCATTTATAAAGTGTTTGGGTCAATAACAAAGAAGAAATCGTCGGCAAAAGAGCGTGAACGGTCAAAAAACGCTTAAAATGTGCCGAAAATGGCCATTATTTCGGATCTAAAACTTCTATCATGGCTTTCAATGAGTTCGATGTATTCCTCGCTTCGGTGAGCTGAAAACGTGGTGAAGTTCAATATTTCTTTTAATAAACCGCCTTCTAAGCAAACATATCAGCAACAACAGCATAAGATAATTGACTAATTTTTTATATTAATGCTTATTTTGCACAAACATGCAACTGAAAATTAGCGAAAATACAGAAGAATGAAGAAATAGAACAGACGAAAGCACAACAGGACATCGGCTGCAAAATCCCTGTATGTTTAATGGACGATTTTCTTAATTATTGTGCTCCTGGGCAGGAATATCAAACTGAAGAGCCACTAAAAGATACGTCAAAATGCTTCCAATCACCTAAAAAACAACGCACAGTTTTAATCCTTCTGGTCTGGCCACCAACAGCTTACAGGGCCCATAATGCCAAGATCAGCATTGAAAAAATCGTTCATAGAAAATGGTCGTTGATTGGTCACTTTGTTGACGAAAATCCGAAATTGTTGATGTTCCTCATCAGTCTGGGCACTTAGGGAACATGCGATTAGTATCGGTTTCAAGCCCTGAACCTAAAAATCGAGTGAAAACTTTCGAATATTCATCAGCTAATGCACCTACGATTCTCATCAAGTTGTTGATGTTTTTGAAAAACCAAAAAAACCCAATAAAATGCGCCACCACGTAGATGCAGTTCAACGCAAATGTACTTGTAGTTATCACTTTGTCGGATTGGTACATCAAATAAACCATGGCCGAGTAAATGTTGATGATCAGTATGGAAACTTCGACTACAATGCATGCCAGCAATTGGGGAGAAGTGAACTGTTGGAAGAGCAGGACGATTTCGTAAATTTCCTCGTGGCTGATGCGAAGATATTCAATAATCTCCACTCGCGTCAGCTTTTCCATCTTCTCTGGCAGAAAATGCGCCTCATCGCACATTTTCTTCGGGCTGCAAAGGCCGCTAAACTGATACTCATTGCGCGACAAATCGATGCTTTTTTTTGGATGTATGTGCCGATACCCCAAGTAGTTGCACACAACATTTTCGAAGCAGATAAACAAGCCCGTACAGTACTGAATATCTGAAAATCCATATAAAAAAACACGCAAACCTTCTCACTCTGATGGCACTTACAGGAAAACCAAAATACGTAATTGACGCTTGGCGTGATGTTCATGTTTCTGAAGAACAACACGTGCAAAGGGAGCTTGTAGCTGGTGAAAAACGCGAAAAACATAAAAGCGCCATTCTCGAAAGTGAACACCGAAGCAATGAGAATGAGCAGGCTCTTCTGGAATTTTACTGTAAGCTTCTTTGCCCTCGGGCAGAACAGATGGTCTCTGCTGGCCTTAATCAACCCCTCAGTCATTCTGAGCCACAAACGCACGTTCCACAGGTACAGTATTGCCACCGACCAGTAAACCACGCTAAACACATTGGCTAAAGAGTCCAGGAAAACTGCCATATTGGTGATTTGGAACCTCAAAGAGGGCATAACATGGACGGATGCAACGGCCAAAAGAGTCATCAGGACGCAACTGTACAACATCCAGAAGGAGGACAATTCATATGCGCACTTGCCATTCAAGTGGCGCCAGGAATAAGGGAATCTCCCTATCAAACGCATGGGAAAGATGCACAGTTTTAGGGTTTGGCAAACGCATAAGGAATGCCTGCTAACTTTTAGCGGAGTTTCCATAATGCTCAGCTTGCTATAAGGGTGCACTTTGTTGTCAGAGCTTTGCCTCATCATGGCTCACTTTGACTACTACCTGGGCATGAGGGTTTATCACCTCGTTTATCTATCGGGGAACGAAATGGGTTAATCAGGGGATAGATATTTTGCCTCGCATTATCCCTAACTGCGTTGCATTAAGGGTGAGTGATCATTCCAGAGATAACTAAATGGCCTTTATTCGAAGTTTCTCAAGAACCATTCGAGCCACAGAATTCGTTTTGGCATCGTTGGATAGAGAATTG